TAACTGCACTACTGTATAGCTCTGTGTAAATAATCATTCTGTACATTCGATAATTTTTAATCCTACAACTGTTTACAACTTGCATAGTTCCCATTTCTGTATAGCTGTATATCTCAGATTTCTGTAAAGTTATTTATTTCATATTCTGTATAGTTTTTCATATTTATATCCTGTTCATATCCTGTACATACTTATAGTTATAGAATATTCACAACATACTTCATACCGTGTACATTATAACATACCATAATAGACCCATTTCTGTAATATACTCACATATCTATATTATTGCTAATATATATTGTAATATATCTATATCACTAAAGCACTTCTGGATGGATGCAAACTGCATTTCGTTGCCCTGTACCTGTGCATGTGCAATGACAATAAAGTTGAATTCTATTCTATTCTATTCTATTCTATTTTATTGATTTCTTGAGGACTAGAAATGCCTTGCGAGTTTGTGACCCCTGGTCACTGTTCCTATGTGCACAGAAAGCAAGAATTGCAAATAGAAGCTGAAATCTCTGTCTCCTGGTTCCTTCTCGCATGTGAGGTTGCAACATTATGCAAACAGAGCAAAATCTGAACCATTATTCATTTTCTTAATCTTAATAGCATTAAGCACAAAGTGCTGCTTTAGGTATGGGAATAAAATACATTTTATAGGCTTTAAACCAAAAAATAATAGTACAATGGAAGATGAAATCAGCCATGACCACCTGCATGAAGTAGCTTGAAGATGCCTTAGTGAAAATCTACATTTTACCAATCTAATATATACACATATAAAATAACTTTTGGGCCAAGAACCAAGAAAGATTTATTGTAGTGCTATGCAATCTCCGATCTCCACAGGTGATGGACATATGTTGAGATAGTCTGGCAAAAGTATATTATCGTACCTTGAGTCATGCAGCTATCCAAAAAGAAAAAAAATTAAAGAAAAAGACAAAAACTTAAAGCATGTGATTATATAAAATGTTGTATGAACAAGGTCAACCAGCAACTGCTATGTTTATCTTAAGGTGCTGGCAGCTATTTTAAGAATCAGGGAGACATGAACGGATGAAGGATAAGATGCAGCTCTAGAATCACAGCACATTTGATTTGGATGGAAGTAATGATGGTTATTAAGAACAGCTGTGTGCCAGTGAGTCTCCCTGCTAATACACAAGAACAGAGAAAACACCCTACCGCCTTGAACAAATGTCACTGTCAGACTATAATTCCCAATACAATGTTCAGTTTTCTCCTGTTGGTCATTTGCTCTGACTTCACATCTGTTATTGCTGTAGTGCTGGCATGCTGCGCTTATCTGAAAAGCCAATGTTCAGTGACATTGGAACAAGTACTGGAAGTGTTTGGGTACAAAAATTAAAAAATTAAAAAAGGAAAAACCCTTGTTCCTTGAAAATGTTTCTACACTTCTAATACATTCACAGAACCAGCAAATTACCCAAACTCTACTGTAAATTATAAATGTCAGTTTTAAGTTTTGCCCTCGGAGATAAATTTGAACATTTTTGTGATTCAACATGAGCTTCAACAACACTTATTTTTCTACCAGATTGGGTTGGAGTTTATACTTCCCATTCAAGAACCTCAAAGAATGATTTATAACCTGAAACTGTTGCTGAGCGTTTTACAATTTGTAACAATGCCCACTGAAAATATGCCATTGGTGAGGCTTAGAAAGAATAATAGAAATGGTAGCAATGCATTACTAAAAA